CCCCAAAACCCCAAAACCCCAAAACCCCTTTTAAACCTAATTTAATTGAAAAATGCTGTTAGTACGTCAGAAAATGTGCTCTCAAGAAAGAACCTGTCTTATTCGGATTTCCTCTTAATTATGTGGCATCCAACTCTCTTGAGTTCTCCTACTCCTGCTCACACTAGATTTTTTCTGTGAAAGTGCAGAGTGAGATAGACAAGTAGTCGCTGTAACAAAAGGACTAGGTTCATTGTTTCTCCCTCTACTTCTCTTATGACTCTTCAGTGCCTCTATGGTATCCTTCACCAGAACTGGAGCCCTAATTTTATTAATGATTATAGTCGAACTCTTCTTTGATTTCATCTTTTCTTCAGGAAGAAGTTTTCGCATCTTTTTCTTCAAATAACTAGTCTTCATAGTCGTTACATCAGAGACATCTTCTTCTGATTTTGAGCAGAAGTTATTAACTAAGTTTACCAAGTCATAAAACTCCATATTTTCCCAATCGCAATCCTTATCAATCCTTTGACTTTTTGGTGGGCTTTTATCCGTGTCTCATGCCAGACTAGCTCGGAGGACATCAATGATCCCCATTTTTAATTTCTTCTCAGCTTCTAGGTCCAACTCACGTTTACGTTCTTTCTCTCTCAACAGTCAAATAGCATTATCTACTATCCTAATAAACTTCTTTGAAGGCTGGATGTACACCTTGGTCTTGCCTAATTTAGGCTTCTGTTCCTTCTCAGCCTCTTTTCCTTTTATTTGCTCGTTGTAGTACTTTAGTAGAGCTTCTTCCTCATGGTTCAGTCTTGAAGCACTCTGGTCAGAAGTATTATTCAACGAGAACAAATCAGTATGGGACAGAAGTTTTCAGTCAGGATTTTTCTCTTCGAAATAATCCCCTTCAGAATCTGAATTATCAGAGTCGATACAAAATGTAGTCTCAGAGGCAAACCTGATATGTTTTGACATTTCAATAAATTTATAAAATTTAGGGGTTTTGGGGTTTTGGGGTTTTGGGGTTTTGGGG